GTATGTATAGATCGCAAATAAATTTGTAATTACCATGTTTAAACGTACCAAAATATTCTTTTAATATTCGTGATATCAAGTATAGGATTATATTACATCGTAAAAACAGTATCTATTGTCTCGCGCTACAGTTCATACGTACGTGCAGTCTATCAATAAAGCTGCATTAGTTACATTGTCCTTCAAGCAAAATGGACGTTGTCCATCATAGTTCAGTGTCATTAATTATAATGCTTTCGAGCTCAGCCTGGGTAATTATTTTGTTACGTTGAAGTTTCAAATGAGCTTTCTCACTAATTTTATTCATAGAAATCTATGCTATTAAAAATTATTACAAAAAATATTACTATGCGAGCATAAATACAGAAATAGAGATTTAACATGCAGACATAAAAAAAGATTTTTATATAGACGATTTAATTCTATTTTTCATCATTTTCTATTCTATTTTTCATCATTTCCGCTACATTAATAATATGCCTGCATTTATGAGAACAACTTGTATATATTTATAATTCGTGTAACAATTTGAAGTCAAATCGGACATCTCGGGGTTAATCTAGTTGCGCATGGAAACACGCTAATGAAATTTCTTCCGCTTCCGACTCGGCTGCATTCCAAGTCGCAAGAAGAGCCTGCGTTCCGCAAGAACTCGTTTATATTCCGTCCCGTACTCAAGATAAGGACTCGCGGCCTTTACCATTCGTAGGTGTCTCAGCCACTTCCCTTATAAAGGACATCTAAGTGATTTGCATATTAATACAGAGAGATATGTTCTCTGTTCGCGGTCTTGCCGGAGATTATAAGTGCGTAGTGGAGTATTTAGCCGCGTAAGATCCATTATGTGGCTATGATAGCTACCCAGGATAGAGAGTGACGATAACGATTAAAACGAGCACGAGAGGAATTGTGGCAGCGATAAGAGCTAATTACATTTTTTATCTTTGCATTTCAATATTCATAATAACTTATTCTAATAAAAAAATAAGTAATGTTAATAATTTTTTTTTTAACGTGTAGATGTGCACGTACAGACAAGAATAAAAGAGATTTTATCTTATCATAATAAAACTTCGATGAATACTCATTGAAATTTCAGGCAGACACATTTTTCTCTGTCAAAAATAATCGCGGCGAGATAACATTCATTATCTTGTCGTAGTACTCGTTTAATTGGATGAGAATGTGATCTCCAAGCCGAAGAAAAGTTAAAAATGTAACGCGGACAAATTGGTATTCGTGCCGACAGTATATCATCGGTGAAATGTTACGTTTGGTATAATTTATTGCCAATTATTCTGCACCGTGCAATACCTCCGTAAGTTTCTTACAGCGCTAATATCAATTCGTTAAGCCGGAGTAACGCGCTGTTCTCTCAGGCTGCAGCACACAATTAGCAATTAGGTAATCCGCTCTCTGTTCCCTCCAGCGACTGATAGAACGTAATTTTTATTTTTTATTGGCAGCAGTTAGTTGCCGCGCACTCTACATAAAAAAGATAATACAACGTGCAAGTTCCTACTAATGGTTTAATCTTTTCTCTCTCTCTCTCTCTCTCTCTCTCTCTCTCTCTCTCTATTTAAGTACGCATTCCTCGTGCATCTGTGTAGCGAATATGTTTCGCTACACAGAATTTATTAACTTAATTTATTAAAATGAAAAACATTATTTTACAAAACAGACATGCTTTGCGTTCAGCATCTTGTTACACTTTTCGAATCATGAATAAAATCTATATACAAATTATTATAATAAAGTAAACATATTGAAAGCAATAATTTTAATGCATAATCTAGTTGAAATCTTAGTCACTTGTTGCAAAAAATTACACCAACAAATATTTGTTAAAATCTCCTATTATGTAACAAATTCGCTATTTTTCAATTATTATATTGTTTAATTCCTCACTGTTATCATAATCTTCATCTTCGCAAACATAATCATATTTGTGTTCATAGTTTCAACATTTATCTCAAAAACGGAAGATAACATTTTCACATCGACATTTTCTAAGCAATTGTATGAGAATTTGTTGCGGAATTTTCAATTATACCTTTCCCGAAATTCTCTTGCTGAGAGGAACTGTACTAAGCGCTAATTCTCCTTCGCTGTTTGTCGAAGTGATAGCGTAATATAATATTAGTTGTGTGTCGATATAATAATTGTTTATCTAATTATTTTAAGATTAGTTAGTTATTTTATTTAAAATATTCTTGTAACATATTTAAGTCTCGAAAAAAGTGGACTTAATTTTATTTTAGAAAAGAGCTTTACTTGATATTGAATTATTCGTTATTAATAAAATTTGGTTGAAAAAATATATTAAAACAATAAAAGCTACAAATATTATGAGCAAACTCATGAGAAAATTTTTGAAATCAATATAAAGATATATTAAAGATAGTCATTAAATTAAACATAAACATAAACATTACTTTAAACGTGACAAATCGTTACAGTTCTGCACTGTACATAATTTTCAATTTGTAAATGTCCGTTCTTTCCAAATTTTTCCGACAGAGTGACTGCTGTGACATCGACAATTGAGGCAGAAAATCGACTTGTATCTACTTCGTTCCTCTGCCATCGTAATTTCCTAACGTTTCTTCGCACGAGTTGCGTTTCTCTCGAGAGAGAGAAGGAGAAGAGTTTCAATTACTTCCACGCTGTTATTCTCACAAATGCCTTTGGGAAACTTGTCGGCGGATTATTTTCGAAGTGCGATTCGAATCGGACTCTTGGATCTGACGTGTACAAATACACGTTAAATCGCTGTCTTCCTTTTTCCCTTCTCGTGCGTCACAATAACTCGTAATTTAATTTTGTATATCTGGAGCTGCACTGGTATAACGGTTAAATAACAGAGAATATTACAATTTAGTGATGCAAACTAAATATTCCGGAATTCAATTTTATAAAACAAAAAAAAAGCAGATGCGAATGTTTAAAAAATATATACAGTAAATTTTCGATTAAATTATTGCAAAACATTTGAGGTAAATATTTTTTAAAAATGTCATGTTGCGTTTAGAACTAAAGAAATCATTTGTAGTCTACAGACTTTCAGCTTAATTTTTACCCCAATTCTATTCATAAGTTAATAGCGCATAAATATGACAAATTGTTGGTTCAACAATTTCTTGCTTAAAAAAAAAAAAAGAAAAAATATAGCGAGATGTAAAGAGCCACTTTGCCTCGCACTATTTTCAACGAAGTGCTGGTATTGTTTTTTAACAGAAATAGATTTTTTTCGCAGAACTCTCGAGTTTACACTGAAAACGAGCGTAGCAACAGCTGTCGCTTGCACTGTACTATATAGAGAATGCAGGCGGGAAAGAGTTTTTAACGTATATTACGTGACCCGATTTCGCGCAAATAAATACTGTTATATGCAGAGAACGTCTGCTAGAGGCTGTAACCCCAAACGATATCGATGATACTCTAAATTGGATAACGACATTCGAGAACACGCTCGATAAATTTTAACAATGCAGCTTGCGTTTAACGCGAAGGTCGACATAAACGGCCCGATAAAAATAGCACTTGCGTACGACTATCAAACAAAGTCAGAATGATCGCGATTACGCTTCTTTTTCATATTTACCCCCGTCGTGTAAACGCTTTATCCTTTATCACACTCGTAACATTCTCCGAGAGGCTAAATGCGAACTCGAAAGAGATTTACCAAAGGCACATAGTAAAGTGCTTTTCAATGAATTCATTTACCGCATGATAAATGTCATTACGTGCCACTGTAAAGTGTCAACTCCTCCGTCCTGATGAAGCGCGCGCGTAGGTATTAGTCTAGTCTCGCCTGTCCAATGCTTTCAAAGGCAGGCCCTTCAATTTTGGATTGAATGTGCAAGGCTTCTTCCAACTTGGTGTAGAAGCGACACGTTTACTTTACTAGGACTCCCTTCTAAATGAAATAAGTGTGTCGCATACCATGATGTTCGGGTTTAATATTCGGTCTTCGCTTAAAAGCAGCGCTGAGTCCGTCGTAATGAGTTAATTTCTCCGAAATATCACAAACTGGAGCATTCGCGCACGTCAGTATATATCGCGGTAGTAATAAATTACACACCTAATTTGTTCATTTAAATTAGTATATGTTGTCTGTTAATGTTAATTAATATTGGTTCACTTGCCGTTTAGTAAAGTTCTGATAGGAAGTCTAGAGATAAAGTAAATTAGTCCTTTTCTAAAAAGGAGATGTGAAATTTATTGTTGCCGCTTTTCCGCGATGCCGATTGGTTTTCTTGCTGCGCTTACTTCATTTGCAGCTGTCATTGTATATTTTGACAGTTGTGTATAATAGGGTTAATAGTGAAATGTTAAAGATAAATAGCGCGCGCGTAGCGCGCGTCTGTAGTGTCTAGTCATATAAATAATATGTTGAAATTTACGTAATACTATTCTTGTATATTTTATTACTACGTTATTATTTCATCAAAAATAATAAGTTAAAATACAGTCTTCTCAATTTCACGAATACTACACGAAGCTGACTATTACTACTGAAGTAGTAATAATCAATTTCTAGTCAGACGTTAATAGTCTGACTTTCTTAAAAGTCAATTTCTTTCTAATCAGACGCGTTGTTCATTGCAACGTTTAAATACCTTTTTACTTATTCAAATAATGTGAATAATATAAAATACACTTTAACATCTAAAATAGCTTAACAAAATAATATATGATATAATAGCTAATACATAAAAAAATTTTTACAATTCTAAAAACACTTTTAATAGTTGTAAGTATCCTTTGAATAGTATTATTAACAACATTTTAAAAATTCAATTACATTCAAATAAAAAGAAAACAATATACAAATAATATAAGTGATCCGAGACTAAAAATTAAAAGATGATATGTGAGTATATTAGTAATTATCCATTCAGAATCGCAGGTTTGTAAATGCTTAAACATTTAGATATCGATATAAAGTATTGGCGGATATGTCTCTCCAACAAAAGAATCCAATTTTTCATACTTACCCAACCATATCGGAGTCCTTGGCCACTCGACAATGAACACCGCGGTCCACCAAGCATTTTCCGGTCACAGGATCCGGCGGGGCAAGATTGATGTAAGGCGGTTCCTCCAGAAAGGTTATTTTAAGGTAAAACTTCTCCGGCACGCCTTGCGGAGGAGTGTGGGTATTGCCCGGCCAGACAATGTCCTTAATGTCTAGACCCTCTTTTTCCCAGGATTTCCAGACACCGATCTACGGACAAGCAGACGAAAGCAAATGTGATCAAATACAGTAGCAGTTTTAATAAATTATTCATAAATGTCATATTTTATTAGTGTGATTTTACTTTCAAAAATTAAAGTGTTTCTTTTAATTTTAGCAAATAATATAAATAAAAATAAATGGCCAAAGTAGCATACTACCAGTGTGCTGAATTTAAAATTTTTAAAAAAATTCTACCATAGCTCTTTTGTCCTTCGTTATTTCGTGTCATCTTTTTCTTCTTCATGATTTAACTTTTGATGAGAATATTTTTTGGCTTCCTTTTAAAAATATTATCAACATTCTTTAATGCTACTTGACCCCCATTTAAATAATTTTAAAGGTATCTTCTCTGAATCGTAATTCGTAATCAGCTTTTTAGTTCTTTAATATAGGTCCTACAAAACTTTTATTTAACGTGTATAAAGCGTATTACGATAAAACTTCAGCTTTATTGCTTTAAATTTCGTATCGTTGGCGTTCTATACTTGATTGCGTGCAAAATTGTTTTCAACAGAAAGTGTCGGCGACAAAAGTATAACGTGAAACGGAAGTGAAATTACAAAGTTCTTCCTACACTTCTCTGAATCGCGTCGTGACGAATCTAGTATACGAAAAGGTTTAGTTGTACACGATATAAACTGGTCCCGTACTTCAACTTGCTTCCTTTCGACGCGTATCGTTTCTCACTATCGGGCGCGCAATTTACTTCCTATTCAGACGAAACTGTATTCGGTAATGGAGCCCCATTAGTCAATGTCGACGAAAATTTTATAATACATCCATCATTGCTGGCATTATCGCGCTTTAGAAATTTTAACATTGTTAATGATTGGTCCGATTGGAACTTTAGCCACTTTGTTTGCTACTGTGAAAGAAGAACTAGGGCAAGGTAAAAAAAAAATAGAAACCTAATTACGTTTTTTATGAAAAAGATTTTTTTGATAACATAAAGCAGAAATATAATTAGTATTAGATGCTACTAAGCTTAAACAACGAATATTACGTAGCTACTACAGATATTATATACATAGCTATTTGAAAATAACAATCTTTTTTAAAAAATACAAAAACCGATTCCATAATTTACATAATTTATCAATTCTATCAATCCTATATTCTTTTCTGTGATATAAAGAACGTTGTAGCTCTGCCCTACAAAATTCGGTAATAGATGAACTACCAAAATGTAAAATTAACGCGGATGTAATTTACGTTGGTTATTAAAATCATTTGCATAGATGCCAGACGTTTCCGTATGTTGAAAACTTGGTCGACACAGGTTATGTGAAAATACGTGACCGTCGTGTCAAAAAGACACGTGGGCGGCATTGAAAAGTGCACTCACGCCCGCTTTTCTGCATCTCTCGCATTGCATTCGTAAAAGCTTTATCAAAAAGTAAAATCTATAAATTTTTGATAATCTTGCTGATAGATTCTCGCTGTACTGTTGCAATACGAATGGAAAGAAACAAAATACACATAGAAAATTTTGATAATCTATTTTATTAACATGAAATTCTGAATTTTCTCGATTTTGTTATTAAAAAAGTAAGAAGTTTTTGATATTTTTTTTTCTTTTAATACGCACAAGCAATTTTTAAAATATAAATATTTGTGAAATATCATGTAGTTTTTAAAATATTATTTCTTTAAAAATTTAAATTACAATTTTAAATTACTCAACAAAAAATAGGGAACTCTTTTGATAAGCTAAAAATTTGGGCTATTTTTAAATCACTGAAACTCGGCAAAAAATCATCGTAGACACAACATTAAAAAAGCATTTTAAAGCTTGAAACTTTTTTTAAATGCTTTTTGCCAATTTTAATTACCTTTTTTTTTAAAAACGGCACTATGATAAAGCTTGATCCGTCAAAATAAACATTTTTAATGCAAATTTGCTGCGCTACATCTGGCGTGCAAAAAATCGTGGAGACTTTCTATTATTTGTATCTTGCGGATCGCTGAAGTGATCAAAGTCAAAGTGACCACTTTTTATTCAAATCTCGATAACTCGGCCAAAAAAAATCGCACAACGCTCCACAATCTCTTCAATTAAAAGGAAAAGATCCCACTGAAATATCTGCAAATCGATTCTTTTTCTTATAAACTCTCCACGATATCTATAATAATTTAACGTCATTTTCTTTAAAACTAGTCATATATCCAGTTTGAAACTTCAAACAGGCTGTATCTATTTCTATATCACACTTCATCGACTATTCATCGACTCCCGTGCGATGCGTTTAATCGAGTGCATTCGAACGCGAATTGATTTATTCCACACATTCCAAAACGTTCCATTCAAAGAGGTAATTTTACGGCGATGTGAACAAGGAGCCAAACTAGGGCAGTTTATTTACATCGTCAACATTACGTACGCCGGGCTCTGTGCATTTCCGTCATTTCGTCCCCGTGCATTGCGCGCGTTGTTGGCAACGGCTATTGTCTCTGTCAGCTCGCCAAAATTTATTTGGCAGTCGTGCACCATGGTGAAGAAAGTAAATGACTTCTTGTAGAATACTACATAGCAACTTTCCAGGTGCGAGGGGGCCAATAAAACGAAATTGGATCGCTCCGGTGTGAGTGTTGCTCAACTTCTGAATATGTAAAGCTCTCACTGGCGATGCGCGCGAGACATCTACATATTAGAAACCGATACTGCACGGGGAAGTAAGTTACAGCGAACATGTTGCCATGAAAATTCATATACATGACCGTACAGCCGTGTGATCGTACACTTTTTATCGTCTCCCGTGCGAAGAAACGAAAAAAAATCAAAACGCGCGAAGTTTCAATCAAAATCCGTTCTCTCTAGAAAAGCTGAAAATTCTCCAGGAGATTTATGCATTCATAATTAAAAGCTCGGGGATCCAGCGTTACATGCATTCGGAGCTTTTCGCCTGCGTACCCATCGACCGTAGCCTGCGCCGGGCCTGCCCGTTACGGAAAATCCTTCGTTTATGAAGGAATTACGACAAGCGCGTACGTATTTATATGTTAACGTGGTTACGGGGGATCGGGAGAGAGATTAACGAAAGCAACGTCATACGGGATATTCGACAAACAAGATCGCGTTTTGAAGGGATACGAAGGATAATCATAAATTTCGGAATACGATGTCGTAAACCGTGTAATAGAAATATGTAATCTGATAAAGAAAATTATATATGTACTACGTATCATTTTTTGACTGTTTTTTTTTTAATTTAATATATAAACATAATAATTAATAATTAAGATAATAATTTTAACGCTGATTTTAATAGGTCAAATTTATTTCTGAGTTGCAAATATAAATGAATTACAAATCTAAATCAAGATCTTCCACAGACTGTCCTCATTTCTTTTTCATACATCCAAGTCTGCAATCACCGAAATTGTATTTTCATTTTAACGCGCGCGGTAACAATTAACAACGGAATAAATAATACGTGTTTCCTTGTGCTTTTGCTCGTTACTCATTACTTAATTTAAATCGCGCGATGTAACGCGCGGGTCAGTAAACCGCAGGGAAGACTCGGAAATTAAACTTTCGCCGAGAAATATCTCGCAAAACGTCACGTGCAATGGCGCCGGCTACAAAGCGCCGGCTGATGAATTAATGACTACATTAACATGCCGTGAATTAATGAACAGATTATAAGTTCATTACACGAGTCGAGATTATATCGAGTTAACTGTTATACCACGTGATACGCCGTAACGAGTTCTTTGACGCTGATATTCTCTGTCGTTGATGTTTCTCTCATCAAGGCAATTGTAAATGCTTTCTCGACGTGGAAACAACGCGATGCACCGTAAAATCTTACGGCATCTCCTAATTATCGTATACTCGTTGGTGCGTCATTCCCTAATTATAAGTTCCGCCGCCCGTTTAGTTCAGGACACGTTAGTAGTTACCTACATTCTGTTAACCAGTTTATTGCGCTGCGGCGAAACCTAAACTTTCCACAATAATCACAGCGATTACAGTTGTGAGACGTATTTTAACGACAATTGGAGATTGACGTATTGAGTGTACGTGACAATCATCCAGACATCTTAAATATTGTTCTTCGTATATTAACGTCATTTAAAGTGTCATTTAATGTTAACTCTGTACTTATATTTTCTTTATTGATTTGATTACATGAAATAGGTAGCTTACATGAAATAGGTATATCGAATAGTAGGTAAATATCATGTACAATTTTAATCAATTTAGCCAAATAAACAAAGAAACTACAATATACCTAAATAATTATCAAATTAAAATTAAAAATGTATTAAATAAAAAGTTCTGTTTATACACATAAAAAATTTATGAAAGCAATTCTTTTCTATGAAAGAAACAGGAATTGAGTTATCCAAAGAAACATCAATTTGTATTTAACGCAATTGTCGTCAGCCTTTCAATCTATTATCGGAGAACGTGTTTCCAAAGTGACTTTCACCATTCTTTCTTCCTTTCTTTACGATATCCCGGAATACGTTTAAAAATTTAATCGTACGTGACGAAAAAAATTCACGGAGAATTCGTTGCGCTAAGAATACTGGCGGTCTTGGAAAAGGTTAATTGTCCCGTCAGGATTTCGACCGCGACATAAAGTTCCCACAATAGCTGTCCCTTCGATAAGCTCGGTCAGGTCAGGGGGAAACGGGGATTACGGCTATACATTGTCCGCGTTTTACTGGAATCGTTTGCGACGATACATCCCGCAGTATTTGGCATGATTCCAGCCATTCCTGTTAAGTCCGCCACGGTTCCTTATAATCTGTAAAACTACCGGGTTAAATTTTTCCCTGAAAACGTCTTCCTCGGAGGGACGGACAATTTTTAAGCTCGTTCGTGGTCGTGGTGCCTTCGGGGCTACCGCAATCGAGAATGCGAATGGGGCAGAATGTAACTCAAGATATGTGACAGGAGAAAACGCATATGCGGCACGTGCATGCTCGCAGTGCTGTTTCTTCCGAAAAATCGACGAGTTATCGCACTCTAAATTGCT